AATATTTCACCGGAAGACGGCGAGGAGAGATTGATGATCGCCGTTGGGCCAGGGCGCGTCGTAACACGCGTCGCTTTCTGTTTCTGTTTGGATTTGAGCGGGTTATTAACTTCGAATCGAATTAACCGTGATGGGTGATTCCCACGGGATTCGTCGGTATAAGACCACGGCCTTCTTCTAATCTACCGATATCTCTTCGATTCTTTGAAACTCGAAGAAGATTCTCTGTCTCCTAAGGGGACAGATGATATTTTTCTTCGCTGGATGTTGATTGGATTTTGTCAGTGAGATTGTTCGATGTAAATTTGTAGCCAAGCGTTGGCTTAAATAAAATTGTGAGTATTTTTGAAAGGCTGGAGTATCGAATAAATTTTTAACGAATAAAATTTTGGACTTAAAATTTGGACTCTGATCCGTTATTGAAATTTTTATTTATCGGACAAATGTTTTGAGATAAATTTTATAATGTGGTACAGAAGTACAAGTAAGAATGATTTATTTATTTTGGAATTTTGAATGGACAATATGGATGATTCGTTCGATAAAAAATGAAGAAAAGAATTATTCGTTGATTTCCTTTTTTAATTGTAAATATCAGCTCGCCAAATCTGACAATAATTGATTGTACATCATGGAAACTTAGTTATGGGAAAGTTACTTAACCAAGGGAAGAGTTTCGGAAGGGAAACAGAGAGTGGAAAGCCGATATCAACGAACAGTGACGCCTATGCGGCTTTGATCTCGATGATCTTTGATCTAAATTGTCTCGCAGATCAGTTTCTCCTCTGTATTGACGAGAGGCAGAAGTCAGGCAAAGAAAATAATTATTCTCGTTATAACAGTAAGGATAACGATACGTCTAACGATACGCAACTTCAAGGATATCAAGTTTTCGATGCGGAACGATGGTTTTCGAGTATATATTCGATCAACCATGTTAATTAAAGGTTTACGCAAGTATGATTTCGATAGAGTCGAATGCTCTTTTCTTTTTTCTGGGATAATCGTCATTCAAGCGAATATCTTGATTATAATGCTTGGAATTTGTTAAACAATTCTGCACGAGAAGAGAGAAAAAATTTTTTTAAGAACAGAGGATATAGATATTGATTGATATAGAAAAAAATTGAAGATAAAGTTTTTGCAACTTTTTGCAAGAAATTCCATATCCAAAAATGTACGTTATTGTACTTTTAATATAAATAAATATACTAAAATGTGATATTATAAATTTATAAATATAACAGAATTTGAGAAGATTTAAAAATTAAAAAATTTAAAGATTTTTATCATATGATATTTAAATACCAGATGATATTTTAAATAGAATTTATAAAATAAATATATCATAAAATTTCTGTATAGATAGGATAAGGTAAGATAAAAATTAAGGATCGGTTCATTTTTTGTATATGAAATACATTATAAGCAAATTATTTTTCAAAAGTATTTATTATACATAAAAATTAATAGAATAGTTTAATTAATAGAATAGTTTCTGTTAATATTTTTAATTAATAAGTTGTACAATAATAAAATTAATTAGAAATCGGTACTATATACTTTTATACGCATAAATGTATAAAGTAAGACAAAGAAAACAGATAGAGGAAGAAGGACAGAGATAGAGTAAAAATATTGAAATTAGCGCCATCTCTAGAGTGCCGCAAATGAAACATAGAAACAAAGGATAGAAGATAATGGGAAAAGGATGGAGATAGAGCAGAAACGGTACTACTAGCGCCATCTCTTGGCGCCATTCCAAAACAAACAAGTAAGTTTTAAAGGCAACAGATGGCGCCACGTATTCTAAAGTGGAATTCTCGATATTACATTATCTTTTTTCTTCTATTATTCTTTTATTTGTAGTTCTTTGTCTATACTTTTTAATTGTTTTTCGATTCTTGATTCACATGACTAGAAATTATGCCAATAACGGAAGAATTTATTTAAACAATATAGAAGAGAACATGGACTAAATGTAAAATTATATTGTGTCAAAAAGTATGTGACTTACCGTTCGTAGAGTAATACATTGGCGCAATAATAACTTCTCAACTATCAATAATCGATAAGTATGTCGACATTTAATGAGTAAAGCTGTTATAAAACGCAAATAAATATAATAAAATAGCTATATTTTAAATAGAAAATTTGCACGCAATTTCAAATTATACATGAAATTAAACAGTTTTGATATTTAAAGAGTGAAAGAATAAAACTGACTTTTCTCTATCAGGTAACCATATCTTGGCAAAATCGAATGTTACGGATATATCAATAACATTTGTCCAGGATTCAAGTAAATATTTTAAAACTTATTTATAAAATATAATTACTTTTTATAATTTTTAATATCTTATTAATTTTGTAATTTATCGATGGATATATGATTTATAATACAATAATTTATTAAGTTTATTAACTCGATACAAAAATTTTATCAGCTATATAATAACTTATCATTTATTAATTCTACATTTCTAAATTTATTAATTTTAAAAATATCTTTGTATGTGATAGAAAATACCGCAGTTATTAATCCAATTTATAAATTTTTATCTTGTTCAATGAATTTTTTGAATGTATGAACAACAATCGATATATATATAATTTATTTGTTAAAGAAAATTATTTAAAAGACAACAATAATTCTAGAATAGCCACAAGTTACATTGATCGATAGCGATCAAGAATAATCACCATACGAAATAAAAGTTTTATCTTGGAAATAGAAAATAATTATTGACAATATATTATGTGCACAACAATTATGACTGAATATAGATTTTAATAATAACGTTAAATATTAAAGTGTTTGAATATTGAAGACAAATTTTTTTAATCACTTTAATTTTCATAAGTAATCTTTATCGATGAAACTTAATTAATTTTCAGTCACGATTCTGATATTAAAATTGAACAAACAGATATAAAATTTTCATACGACATTCATACGAGTAAAATTATATCTTGACATTAAATATAGTTATGAATTACGTTCGATAAGCAAATATTGCTTATGTAATTGATTGTTTTAATGTTCACGTTCAAGTATATAAGTACATATGAGTTCAGATTTAATAAAAGAACGTAGGTTCGAAAGAAGGTGTCGAAAAGAAACATGAAAAGTGTGAAATTATTCATCGGGAGGGTTACCCTCACATTAGTATTTATTTATATTGCTATGGTTGTATCTGCTCCTGATGCAAATGAGGTAAATATTACAATATACAATCTGGGACAAAATTACACGATATTTTTCCGGCTTATTTCATGATTTCAAAAAAGTCATTTATTTTTTCGTAAGTATTCTATCATTTTCTTATTTAAAAGAAATGGTTAAAAAAAATTAGTATCAATTGGTATATATTATTAAACAAGGAATTATTTTACGTGGGTACGTATATAAAATTTAGATAAAAAATTTTAATCTGGAAAAATATTGAAAATCATTTGTATCCTGGATTGTAGTTCATTTTCGTTTGATATTATCCGATAATAAAAAGGAAAAATAAATTTTTTTTTTTCACAGGACATCGACTTATATCTACGAGACGTTATGTAATATAACTGAAACAAGGATTGTTTGATCATATTTGATGATTTATATATATTGTTATCCATTTGTAGACTTAAAAATGTAATAAATGTAGTTAGAGTGAAATTTTTTAAATTTATATATCTATTTAAAAAAAATTATGATATAACGATACAATATTATTTAATATATAATATTAAGCAGCACATCTCGAAAACTTGAATAACTTAAAACTTAAATTTTAGATTGAGTTTTTATTTCAGTTTTCAATATATATACATATATAATACAATAATTTAATATCTACATCTCGCCTGTCATTCCACGTATACTTAAAATAAAATCTTATATTGTGAATCGTTTTTTAAATTTTGATAAATTTTATATTCTGCACTCCATATTCCCCCACGAATGAAATAAATTCGCCAACTCGTTCCACAGGCGGAATAGTCTGTGGAAACGAACGAATACACACGTGCATTGAGCAAATATTTTTAATGTACATACAGTAAAAAGAGAGCATCGATTCTAAAATGAAAATATACATAAGCGTACTAAAATCAAATATGCGTTCCCCGGCGGAGGGAAACTATCGTTACATTAAATTTTTATATACGGGGAAACAACGAAATCTTTTTAAAATCGTATTTCTTTCGTTGATCCTTGAAAAATGTCTCGTGACTCGCAAAATATGAAGACGCATCCGAATATCCGGCTTATATCGTTTCGATTTCACCAACCATCTTCCACGTTTTACGAGGCGACGACTGACAAAAAACACGCGCGTATCCGCTTCCTTCTCGCGAATTACCGTTCCAAGATAAACAGGGTACAGGCCAGTCATTATTCTCGTAAACGTTGTTACAAACGAAAACGATCCAGAGATCTCAAAAGAAAGAAAACCAATTACAATCAACTAGAAAGAGAGAGAGAGAGAGAGAGAGAGAGAGAGAGAGAGAGAGAGAGAGAGAGAGAGAGAGAGAAAATAGTTCTTTTGTAATGAATTTTCCTCCTTCTTTTTGAAACGAAAAATTAAATTTCGATTAGGGCTTTAAAATTTATTATCACGCCATGTGATAGACGACACAGGTGCTAAGCAAAATGCTCGTCTAGGGATTTTAAATCGTCTACGTGCTTCCACCTCGATGATTTTCCTTATCTATCACTGCTTCTCTCTCGGCTCCCTTTCTTGAACATGTGATATCTTGACTATGTGGAAATCAATTATCGTTGAGGGAAACCACTTAATATTCATGTATTCTTGTGAAATGTAAACGGAAACGAATCGAACGATGTATATTCTTCGATGAGAAAAACTTTGGAAAAAATTTCTCTTCTCAAAACTTTTCCAAATTTTATTATTAAATTTACTTTTACCACTCTACCATCGAGATAGAATATTATTTTTAAATCTTAAGCAGATGATTATCTCTTTGCAATAATATATTTCAAATAAGCATACTTTAAACAATTTTTCATTAAATATTCAAATAAATTAAAAAAACATTTATATTTTTTATTACGAAGATGATCCGACATCCAAAGGACGATTCTCGAAATCTTTGAGAGAAATGATTGATTTCTCAGTTGATGGATCAAATCCATCATTCCTTCGAAATTTAAACACGTGTTCGGTTAGTTTGCTTTGGAGAGCGGATCTCTCCAGGCAAGGAGAGGAGGAAGAGGAATTACGTGACATCCGCATCGTCTATTCGAAAATTGATTTTGTTACACGTAACTTACTACATGCACTTGTTCGAACAAGAGGATGGTTAGATTCGTCGAAACGTTTTCGTATTTAATGGCAGAGCGTATACGTTCGCCTACGAGTTCCACGATAGATTCTTATTTGCCAGTGAATTCTCAAGAGTAGTTGGCAATTAAAAGTTTCTCTACGGAACCCTTCATCGTGATTTCACCTCGATGCTTCTTGCCTCGAGCCGTCGTGGAAACGAGGACGTAACAAAGAGATTTGTTGAAAATATTAGCGAAATTCGAGACGACGAAGAATTCCTTTTCTTTGAACACAGCGTTCAATACAACAAATTTCTATCGATGAATCATTCCTCCTCGATTTATCTCGTGATTCACCTTCGACACGTCACCGAGAAAATATCGGGCATCTTATGTTACGTCATATGTACTAAATATCGATATTTATGGAGCATCTTCGAAGAGGAGAGGAGGAAACATTGTTTCAGCCTACGTTTTACGCTGTTTGAATAAGAGTCAGCAGAAGGTGTTTTCCAACTTCTGTTTACGCTCGCGAATTCTATGTACGTTATATACGTTGCACCTCTCTTCTTCGAAATTCTTCGAAAAGATACCTCGTGAAAATGGACGACGACCGATAGGGAACATCGAAAATTCGACGATCGTTCCCGTGTCCGCGATATTTTGAATTTTAACGCGAACAACCAGGTCACGGAGGATGGACGAAGGAAGGAAGCAAAGAGGGGGAAAAGAGGTTGACAAAGAAGGAAATACGATAAGATAAGAAAGGAAGGGACATTCGAAAAGTTTTCGAATCAGAATACAAGATACGATCTTTGGCGATTTTTAACCTGGTTTTCTATTAAAGTCAGAGGGATGTTTCTCCTCTACCTTTACCTCACTCATCGATGAGATTATATTATAACTAAATAGGATAACTTTCGAATTTTTTAATATTTTAACAAAAAAAAAATAATTGTATCTTCATGATAATATAATCGGATTCTGAGCAAATAGATATTTTAATCAGAATTTAATTCTAATCCGCGATTTTCGACGAAGAATAGAATCTTGAAAATGATATTTTAATAAAAGAATGTCAGAATCAGGATTTTCAAAATCTAACTCTTTGAGCATTTCGAATTGATAAAATATTCGAGTAAATTTATTAACGCTGCAAAACTTCCTCTCTTTTAAATTTCCAGAATCTCCCGAATCGTAATATGTAGCATTTTTGATATGCAATCGTAATACTTCCAAGAATATTCCAATCTCGATAAATCTTCCACCCAATCCAATCGAATATTTTCGAGTTCTCTACACACTTGTAACCATTATCCAATGTAATAAAATCCTATTTTGTTGCAACTCGATTTCCCGAGTTTGAAACGTAAATCCGTGGATCGAATATTTGACATTTACTTACCTGATATACGATGATCCTGTATAAACAGTTTATTCGTTAAACGACACGGTTGCACGATACTCAGGATTGAAAAGTGGACGGTACGTGGTCCGAATTATATCGTGGAATTGTTACAGGGATCCCCGTAAAAATTGGGCCGCTAAGGGATGTCGTAAAGAGGATATATCCGGCCCTCATCCGGAGGAAAGATAAAGGCTACGCAGAAATATAATCGCCGTTAATCGTCATCCCGGGCCACGACGAAGCGTTTGATAAATGGAAGAAATCGATCGAATATCGCTTCTGTGGCTTTATTGCCATGATGAAACGCGGCGACGATGAATCCCTCTATTCGATCGCATTGTTGCGGCCATCTCGAATCGACCCTCTTTTATTTCTTCATTAGAACGTTTGAATTGGCGTGGAAACGACGACAGGCCAGTAACGACCGATATTTCAGGGGATGATGGTTCAAGGAAACGATTGCAGGATTGCAACCCTTACACAGGAGAATATTCGATTCGTTCCCTGTTTGGACGATTTTTCTTTTCCACTTCGAAATTAATTCGAGGAATAAATAGTTCACGAATGCAATCAACACTTTGGAACTGAACGTATTTGTTAGATTTGTCAGAGTTAAGTTTCGAAGTTACGCAGTAGTTATAATTATGTACATTTGATTACACGTAATATATTATTCATATATTATTCTCTGGGCGTATGCGTTGTTAGTGTGCTTTTAATATTGATTTTCAATTCACTAAGCGGAACGTAATTATTGAATGAAACTCCGTTACGAATCGGTCCAAATGTTTCCAACGTTTCCTTAACAAAATGTTACTTGAACCGTAAAGAAGTTAAATCGATCAATATTTCGGATTAACGGATTTGACATTTGAAAATTGAATTACACGTACGTAGTAACACGTAAAATGCACGGTTCGAATGCACGTGAATTTGAAATCGCAACGCCGGCGCCAACGTTGGAACGCCAGCCAGGCATTTCCATAAATTTTGAAACGGGAATGGTTCCGAATCGAGGGCCCCTCCCGCGTAAATGTAAATACATATCCACGAAATCCCTCCCTCTCTCTTTAATCATCGACGCGCCAGTTTCTCCGGAGTGTATATCGGAGATTCGTGGAACAGAATTGGCGATAGGTTCGCGCGAGGAGCATTCAATTTCACTCGAGTATCTCCAATCAGATTCTCGAGAGTCAACATTCCGTTCCACCAAACCCACTCGATGGACCACAGGAACAAGGCTAATTCGATTTCGGCGTAACGCGGCTTACCAATCGACCTCGCCATACGTGTGCCTCAACGTGTTACCATATATCATCGGATACAAAATCGTGAAACTGAATTGACAAATTGCCAGGAAAGAAAATCCAATATACGTGTTATACTTTGACTTATGATCAACGGTCATAATTTGAGAGATACAAGCTTTCCTCTAATTTTTCAAAAATACGTGTCATTTCGTTCCACGTCATGTCCAATATCTATGCTTCGTTAAACTCTTGCAATATTTTTAATTGTCCATAATCGGATAAATATTCTTTTTCATATTCAGAATGATACATTAAGGCTTTCGATCGTGTTCGAGATAAATTACATTTTTTTTTTTTTTTGTAATTGAAAAACAATCTTTCGTAAAATCGATCGTTTCCCACGGATAGGCGTTCAGCCATAGGATTTTTAAGTAAGGAAAAAAAAGAAAGAAAGAAAAGGGATCGTCTAATTTTGGCAAAGACAGAGCCTTACCTTCGATCTTCGTTCCGCGACGCAACGCAACGCAACGTTTGAGAGACGAGGATTTATCGAACGTAGGTGTGTTGGCCGGTCGTGTTGTTCGTTTATTATGCTAGCTGGTTTGCCTGGCTTATATTGTGCCGGGCAGCGTTGTAAATGCGCGGCTGGCTCTGTTCTTCCATCCACCGCCCGTTACAGTTTCCTTCCTCCAGCCTCCTCAGTTCCCATTTTCTCAACCACTCACGACTCGCGTAGGTGCGCCCGTGTACGCTGTTCGATCCCCAATCGCGAGTTTCGGCGCGGATGCAGCCTCGAAAAATTACCGTGCGCGAGATGCCCGTAGTTTTCGAGTCGACAGTGAGCTCGGTTTACTCTTTCGATCGATCGTTCTCACCGCGCGCCTTTATCTTTATTTCGCCTTCCTCCGCGAATGCGGCTCGAGTGTAATTCGTGTAAATTCGTGTAAAACAAAAAAGGAAAAAAGAAAAAAAGACGAATGCCTCTTGCTTGGTGCGATCAAATTGGAGACAAGAGAGATCACGGGATGACCGTATCCGAGAATGGATCCACAACAGAGATGGTCTCCATAAATTCGGCCAGAAGTTCCAAGGTGATTACATCTTTCGAAGGATGAACTCGAGATTCTTCTGCGAAGATTGTAGTGCGATTTCTATGATTTCTTCCACATGGACGTATACAGTGATTCGTATTTTTCTTTCTTCTTTTTTTTCTTCGTTATATTATTTTCTAATTAAGGCTGGTATAAATTTTTCCATTGTCTCTCTTGAGGCGTAGCGAATTGTTCGTTGTAAAAGTTTTTCAAGGGGCGGTGTTCCCCTCGTACGGAGGGAAAGGAACGAGAGAAGAAAACGGAGAACGTTCGAGAGAGCGTTTTGTCGTGTACGATAAAATGCGGATGTGCATAAGAGCATTCGTCTCGTTGCGAGACGTGTCTTTTCAATGATTCGTGTCGTCGTTTGAATCGGGATCGAAAAAAGAAAAAAAGAAAAAAAAAAAACGCGTATACCTCGATGATCTCGTGAAATCTCGTACTTATCAAAAAGGACGCTTTCATCGTTGAAGATTATTTAAATCTGTCAGAAGAGGGTAATCTTACGTATGATGATCAGGGGCGCGGTGCCTCTCAGATCGAACTCGACCTCCTCGAGGAACACCCTGAATATTGTCACGACCAGGGTTAGTCAACAATGATATTTACACACGATTATATTTATACAGAGTCTCGAAAGGATATTCTCTTTATCTTCGCGCGAAATTATCGGTGTATACATGTAATAATAATTTTCGAAAGGACAGAGCTGAAAGAAGGTGTGGTAAAAAGAGAATTGGACGTTTTATTCGCGATACGAAATTTAATACAGTTCCATTCCACACTTTACGGTCCCACGCTTCCTTACCCGATGCCTTGAACTTTTCCAACCATCCGTGTTAAACTTCTCCGCAACATCGAAGACGGATGGACAACGGTTTTTCGCATCGATAGTTCCCATCCGTGCACTCTTTTTAATAATATCGTCGTACGCCCCTTTTCTTCTTTTTTTCGAAATGAGATAAAAAATTCAGCTTCCTCTGCAACAAAGGAACGAGTAATAATGTTTACTTTTTAAAAAGCTTATATTCGTACGAATATAACAGTTTTTAATGATGAAATCTCGAAATGCAATTTTTTTTTTTTATCGCGCCTTTCTCTCATCGCTTTATAAGCTTCGTAGCTTTCCACGTGAAACGGGCGATATACACTTTACAAATCAAAATATAGAAATATATACAAAAGCAAAGTCGCGTTATTAATGTTAATCCTTTGTTTTCGCATTTATATGGAAACGAGTCATATGCTCGCGCGAAGCGGAACAGAGAACACTACGGTATTTTCTATCCAATTTGGAGGATTGTTAACTCTCTTCATTTCTCTACATCTGCTTCGTGGTGCGTTTATCAACATTAATATTATTTTTAGTTTTAATTAAAGATACATAGTCGGATTTCTGACAATTGAGAATTCCATTACGCGTCAATCTTTTTCTCGATTAACTATTTCAATATTAATTATTCTCTTTTTCTCACTTTTCCTTAAATCAATATTTTACTTTAAAAATACCCAGTAATTTCATTTAATATAGCTCTATTGTTAACGTAGATTACAAAGATTTTGAGAAATCTCTTTTATTTTGAAACTCTTGAAAATCTACATAAACCATTTACATTTCCCATATATTAATTATTCCATTCCATTTTCAATTACAACAACAACAACAACAACAATAAAATACCAGTTTCAAGACAAACATCGTATCTAAAAATACCAATCATCTCCATCATTCTAGAACCTCAACCAAAAATCGGATCAAACCTCGAATCGTCAATAAATCCCAAAGCGAAAGAAAATCATGAGAGAGAGAGAGAGAGAGAGAGAGAGAGAGAGAGAGAGAGAGAGAGAGAGAGAGAGAGAGAGAGAGGAGTGCGTGATCTTCCATCGCGCCACGTATTCCAATCGAAGTCGAGGAAAATAATCACACGCTCGTGATTCGATCCTCGAAGCAGATGTCGGAAACGATCTGCACACGGTACGGTTACGGACTCACGCCTTCGCGACTTTGTGCTCGCCCCACGAAATAGATCGGCGACGAAGAGTGGTCGACTATCCCCGATTTGAATACGATAATAATAGGAAAACGCGTGTCGGGATGATGGCCGCGGATGCACGCAGAATGCAAAGCGATCCCTCGAATTGCATCGTCGTGGATGCAGTGTCGTGGGACTGGAAATGGATCTCTCACTTCCGCCACTGATCGTTACTCAAAATTTAATACGCGAATTCCCGTTTTCTCCCTTCCTTCCTTCCTTACTTCGAAGCATTCTGCAAGCTGTAATTTTTTGATATTAAACGATTTTTGTTCGAACTCGTTTCGTTCAAGGAAAGTTGGAACAATGATATCCTTCTCGTTGAATTTTGATTAATATAGATTTAATAAAGGGAGTTTTAAAAAGGAATTTTTTGGAAATTCTTTATACTATATTTTTGATACTTTGGTAAATATTAATCCTTGCGTTATTAGTGAATATGGTTTTTATTTTTATAATGAGTACTATAATAAAATGTAAAAGGACAAAGTGTCTTTTTTTAAAGTATTCGAATAATTCGGAAGAAAAGGACTTCGTACAAATACGAAACGATACGTAAAGAAAAAGTTAAAAAGAGATTCATCGTTCAGACAACAAGATATTTTGTAAATATTAATTTTAATAACACCTTAATCATTTTTAAAAAAATACCATCTTATCTATTTTTTTTCTTTAATCTAATTTTCGAGAAGTAAATTCAAACATTCTTTTGTAATTGTAATTTTAATACAACGATCTCTTCTACGCGACTATCCCTTCTTTTTACCCTCTTCAACTATAAAGACGTATTTATTCTCTTTTCAAGCACGTCTTCCCTCAACGAGCGTTCATAAATTTACTGTCAGCATCAAAACTAGCATCTCTCCTTTAGAATTTCCATCCCGACCCTCCTCGTACGCCGTCGTTCGTGTACATGTTCCAACGTTATCGACGTTATCATCATCCCACATTTTACATCCACTTCACGTGTCTCCGAACGAATCACCGCTGCGGAGTAATAGTCGAAAAAGATATTCGATCCTTCGAGTATACATTCTCTTCGTCCAATTTTCACATGTGTGTAACAGTTCGAAATCGAAATTCACGGAGCATCGTTTGTATATTTGTCATTTGTCGACAGGAGGAAAGACGTCGGACCGGAAGATACGTCGCGGGTGGTGCTGTGCTGGCAATCATGCTTCTGGCCGTGCATCAAGCGCTCCTCAGGGACGCGTCCACCATAGCTGGTGTATGCATACCGGCCATAATAATGATCTCCTACATTATATGGATCTTGTATTCCGCCCATCGGGACAGACGAAAGGTAACGTGTTTTTTTAATCGAACAATGGCCGCTACGATCCTCAAACGAGTTCGCCGTTCCTCCTTCCTGGACCAGTGCCAGTAGATTCGTTAAATGTTTTCGATATCTTGGAATATTGGGTTTTTCGGGAGAGCTGGAAATTTTTTTCCGTCTTTGTAGTAAAATTTTCCGATACTTTGTCAATTTCATTGATAAAATTTTCGATAAAATTAGAATGGCGATCTCGAGAAAGAAAATCTTTTTTATCTCTTTAGTTTTTTTTTTTGTAGAAATTGATAGTTCTGCGAACTAGATGCGCGCGAGACTTTTTTAATTAAACGCATAAAGCGAAGCGTATAAATTTTCGAGCAAATGTTCGCGAAGAATATTAGAAGGGAGGAATTGTTCGAGCTCCTTTTTTCTCGTGATTCTTTTCGTCTCTTTCTTAAAAAAAAAAAAAGTTTGACGCTTTCTCATAAAGAGACTAGACCGTCATTCAAGCCAAGTAATTTTCTAAAGCGTCTTCCCCATCCTTTCGCCATGCTTCAATTTCCTTGAATTCTTACTTAATCTTCCGTTAATTCTTTCTTTGATCATTTTTACTTGCTTCTTAAGAATCTGTCTTAAGTCCATTAACAAAATATCCTCCTCCTCAAAACGTTCTCCCACGTCTAAGCAATAAATACACGAGATACGCGTTCTTAACGTCGACGTTTAAATTTATTAAAAGTCTTGCAAATCTTTTTTTACCTATCTAATTTCTATTATAATAATTCTTTGCAAAATATCCAATCTTCCTTACATCCAAATATTTATCCACCTACGTATTATATATTATTAACGAATACATCATTATTAACCCCTTTAAATTTACTCGAAAAAAAAATTATTTACTCGATAATTTACCTTTTTACTCCAAATTAATTATTCTATTCCAGAATCATATCCTGCTTTCAAACATTTATCCACATACGTAACACCGGCCATCATCGATGCAATAAACGAACAACATTCCCAACATTCTTAACGTCGTTGCGACCGTTCCAACGAGTCATAATCCACGTTCACTGGCCGAATTTCCGTCCAATTTTCGTGGAAAGTTTCGGGCGATGGACCCCAAACTTCCCTCCCTTCCTACGATGTAATTGAATGGAGGGGGAGGAGGAGGGAGGGAAGCGAAGTTCGGAAATAAATGTCATTTTCGAGGATGCGCAAAAACCGGAGGCAGCAAATCAACGGCAACACGAGCGAGTAACAACCTCGAATTGAACGAAGCTTTTTTTTTTCGCTTCCCGGCTACTTTTAATCTTGTAAATAAGCCACGTGGGATGCAGCGCGCCCCACGGCGCGGAAACTGATAATCGAATTCGACTGGGATCGGCCTCGCGGAGATCGTTTTTGAAAAATCGGCGTGGAAACCTCGATGTCTCGTGGAAATCGCGATCGAGTCAGATCGATTTACTTGCGACAAATCGTATTCGCCTCGTCAGTGTTATCGGTTGAATATAGATTTTCGCTTGGAAATCTTCCCTTTAGCTTTACGTCACTTTACGTTGCTTTAGAGAAACCTAAGTTTTAATTTAGAAATGAAAATTCGTTGCACTCGATGTAATTTTTCATCGTCGATCTACGTTTTCTCGTGTGGCTCGTATGGGGTGAATTATCTAAATTATTTGCCAAATAGAAATAAATTTTCCTTCCTTGTTAATTAGAGAGTTCGATAAATAAGGATCTTCTGAAATCGTTTTTTACACAATTTAGTTTCTCTAAAAACAAAAATAATTAAGATGATTGTCTCATTTCGTAAATTGATAATTTCACGAGAAAAACGCATGAAGGAGAATTCAATTCCAAAAATTTCGTTCCAAAGATTGAAAAATCGACTTTTTTGAAATCTTTTGATTCGATAAAGCGTTATTTTTTGTTTTTATTCGTACAGTGGCGATCGATCGTGTGACACGCGATCAAATAATACAGAATCGGAACAAATCGTTCAACAAATTTTTCGCAAGATTATTTCATTGGTAACAATTTTTCGCGTTCATTAAACACAACGAAATTAAAATGTGTTCCATTTGTCCGTTAAAAATAATTTCGCGACTCGATTTGCAATTTTTTCTTTCTTTTTTTTTGTAATAAGCGATAATTTTCCATCCCATTTTCCCTCTGTCGAGCCACGTGGTATTTAACGTAACGTCTTCGAATACAAAAAAGGGGATTATTATCGGTAGATAAAAAAAATGAACAATAAACAAGGAAACTGAAGGGGTACACGGGAAAGTTTGTCTAAACTGGAACAAGGTTAGTTGATAATACGAAACGAGGTTATCTTCTCGTGAACAGGATTCGTGATTTACGATGGGTGAGAATGGCGCCAGTTCCGCAGATTTTCTTTTCGTTAAATACATCCTTGAAAAAATTGCGAAAAATGCAATTTTTTTTTAATTAACTTCCCTCTAACACCCTTCCCAACGGGCTAACTAATCGAATCACATCCACGTTATGCAAGACGACGGAAATTGTAACTTTCTTTCCTGCGACGCAAAAGGATTACCTCAACTCTTTCGCCAAGTTATTGAATTCTCCTGCCCTACTAATAACTTTTAGTCACCATTTTTCTGTGCCACTTTCTTCCTCTTTCTTCCTCGTTTCTACCTCATAGTAAGACTTTCCCAATTTCTATTAATTTTATACGAATTTTGAGAAAGAAATTTAAAGTTTTTTGCGAATAGAAAATGTAATGCATATTAAATGTTTAGAAAATTGAATACATGCTTCGTAATATAATTCTCGCGAAATTTTAATCACCGAGAAATTTCTGCACTAATTAAAATTCCGAATTTATTAAACGAAGACAATAGTTGATGAAAAATATTTTGTCAAGAATTAATGCGTATCTTTACGAAGTATTTTTGATTACATTAACATAAATTTATGATTTTATCCATTCATAATCTCGTAAACTAATAATCACGATTTGTATCATTATGAAACATATATTTCTTAATTGGAAGACAAACCGATTTTTATTACACTTTCCCAAAAAATCAAACCAAACGATATACTATTGATCGAAAAACATCGACTTCTTATTCCACCTTTCTAAAAATACTCAAAACAAGAAACATTATACTATATCCAAAATCTAAAATCTCGCGTGAAAAGAAATTCTCGAGTGACTATTTACAGAAAAAAAAAAAAGGTTAAACAACTCGAGAAACACGAACAAACTTCAAACGCGTCAATCCTTCGTTCAATCCTCTCTTCCTCTCAACTCACGAAATACAAATATTCTTCTCCTTTTCAAACTCGAGCGCGACTCGACAACTATTCGAATCGACGACACCCTTCGCCCTAGTCGATGCATGAGCGCCCCTCTTCTCTTTGTTGGCTTAACAACACACAGTTTCCCGATCGACAATACCTTTGCCCCCGATCTTCTCATCAAGAGAAGACACACACGATTGACGCAGAACACGAAGGGCTCGAAAAATGTGTAAACAAGTTTGCCAAGTTACGTTGCCAACTTGCTTCAATCGACGATTCTGGTTTTCAGGCGTTGAGATTCGCGACAGCGATGCAGCTGACAGAAGTAATCAGCGTGCCACCCAGGTCGAACGGAGAGATCTGCAGAAACGGGGCGAGCAAGGACGAGACACGAAAGTCAAACGGTTCGAAATCAGCCTACAATGTTCGAGAGTCGTCGTCCCGCGAAAATCCTGCCTTCTCTTCCAAAGACGAAGCTGCGTGAGAGGAATCGTTCAACTTTATCACGTTGGATGTGAAACCAAAACTACTCGATTCTGGTTTTTTATCACGACGAACTTTTCACCAGAGAAATACCAGTATTTTTTCCTTTTCTGTTATGTTCTAAAACATTTGATATTTTAGATGTAAGTTACCGATTTTTTGTATTCTCTTTTTCATCCAAAATCTTCCAACAAATGGTAAAAATCGAAGAGGATAAGCGGATAATCGATTCGATTGAATTATTTAAACGTGTCATAGAAGGGTGATGCAAATCCAAAATTTTGTGCATACGAATTGAGAACAAGTTCTTTCCCATCGTATTGTTAATTGTTATCGTTTGAAGTTTCCGCGAACGATTTTCATCATTCAAGCGTATGTACAACGATTCACAACTTTACAATTTTAAATTAATAAACGAAGAGAAAGGCAAAAGCAAGAGTCAAGACAAATATTAAGACGGTAAACTTAGTCTTAAGAGGTTTAAAACGAGATTCGAACGGGATCGAGTCAGCATACTACAATTCTTTCCGACTTTAATCGTTCCCCCGAGGCAGAAAGCGAACGAACCAGCTTCGTGCACAACCTAATAACATAATAAATACTTGGTTCGGTTTCGTTTTCGGGGCGGCCCGATTTCTCGCGATAGAATTATTTGTTTAGCCCCGTGGCCGGAATTATTTGTTTCCGCGGCGGTTTGTGATGCAACAACGTTCCCGAACGCACGTTGCCCCTGTTTCCCAGATAAATCTATTTAGCGAGGCAGATAAATCGCGAAAAACGCGACATGTAATACATTTGGAACAATTGTCGCGACAAATCCTATTTTTCGGCCGAAATTTTATCGGGGGAGGCCGATTTTTCCCCCACCGATCTCTCTTCTTTGACGACAAGTTTATTCCAAATTTATTGTCTCTCGTCCTTGAGATTTCCATTTTTTTCTTTCTTTCCTTTTTTTTTTTTATTTTTCTATTATTTACGAGTTCTCCATGCAACGCCATTTGTCGGAAGGTCCACGGTGAATTACGCGGAGATAGAAAGGGTGGAACCGTGGCCATGCCTCCTCGGTTACTTATTAGCCTGTGCGTGGCTCGTAAATCGCGGTTATAAAGAGTTACGCGGAATATTACTTGAAAAATACGAGCTACGTTTAATATTATGTAACGAGGAACTCGTTATTGCATCATTTTCATACTTCTCGATTATCATTATTCTCGGGTAAATCGGAGAATGAACATCTATCAGGTATTATCAATTGTAATTTTCTTTGTGATTCCTGATCTTTGATAAAAAAAATGAATATAATATGGGGGGTTCTAAGATAAGTTCTAAGATAATCTATCTAAAAAATCCCGTGTTTCACAATATCAATAGATTGAATAGAAATTCCGGGACAATTTCGATTAAATTATGATATGAAAATATCATGATATGAAATAAATCTGATATCGATCCATTAACAAATGCATCTAATAAAAATTGTCTATTTCTTTTTTCTTTTCTTTAGAATTTAAATATTTAGACTGTAAGTTCTTTTCGTGATTCGAAAATAATAATAATAAAAAAAAAAAAAAATTGGAGAATGTTCTTCGCTCGAGTGTTAATATTTACAGTAGAAGTTCTACTGTGTGCATATAATTTCAATTAATCTTCCTCTTTATCTCTCCCCATCTTTCCACGATTATGTAAATATTTAACCGAAGCCAAATGCAAGGTAAATAAATGCAAGCGGCAAAAGGAAGCTGAAATGCGCAACTGGGATCTCATCTCTACGTAATGCAGACATCATCGAGGAGGGTGTATATAATAATAGCGATACCAGAAGAATTATTTTCCCTCTCTTTATCCATTAATGAGGAATGTATAATCGTATTTTATCTCTTGAAAATGAATTTCATTCCTACCTCTTCAAAAAACCACGGTGCAAACGGAAGAGAACGCGTTAAGCGATAACCAACGAGTTTGAAACGATCCCCGGCAGTCGTTTGTGCGTTTCAATTTCCCCTCGACACTTGAGTAATAATTCTGGAGTACCTTGTTTCGCGTTGAATTATTTGAACGAACGTGTGAAAAATGAAAAAGGGAACGCAACGAATTGACGGCTTAATAAATTCCACCGTTTGATAAATGACAAGTGTTAATTAAGAAAAAAAGAAAAATATATATATAAAGTGAGTTTCCAATTCATTAAAGAAGCTTTCAGTCCTCGCGATTTATTTTTGTCGAATGCGACGTTTCCTTCCTTCCTTCCTTCTTTCCTTATCTCTCAATTAATTATTTGCAACGCGTTTAATTAAAGGATCTATGAGCGAGTGATACCCAAGGTGAGAAAAAAGGGAATAAAAATAGAGAGGGAAGTCGAGGAAAAGAAGATTTCAAAGGAAGAGAGATAAAAATTCTTTGCTTTTCTCACGTTTATCTCTTTGCATTCGAATTGTGCACCGACGTTATGCACGCTGTGAATTGCGAATAATAGAACGAATATATATATATATATAGAGTTTTTATTTGAAATCGATCGCGAAAGTTTAATAAATTGTCACACAAAGAATACACGATAAAGGTTATTATGTGTACAAAAGGTATTAAAATTGCAGTTAATTGGAGATTTTTCGAATACCGAAATTACAATAAACCCAGCATTCGACACCTTCGATAATAGATTTTATTTCATTTTTCAATTGGCAAACGTTGTGTACCACTTTGTGTACTTCGACACGTGGTACAGAAATATCCAGAAACTTATTTTCAAACATAACACGTATAACAAAATATAAATATGCGACAACAAAATTATGCAATATGATAAATCAAAATATCAATGTTTCTTGTTAAACATTTTAATTGTCCCAATTTTTGTCCCAAATTTATTCCTTGATAACGATAAAAAAATTATTATAAAACTTAATTTTGATGTATCATCTTATTATAATTATATTTTAATTGTTAAAAAAAAAGGAATTAAAATCGATAGAAGGGAACAATTGGCGAGTGCAGGGGGTTAAATAGAAAGCGTGACGCGTCTGACCGCTAAGGAAACCGCGTTTCGATCGAATCCAGACCAATTTCCACGAATTTACATAGCCCCATAATTCAGCCGCGATCCTATTTCGACGCGATAATTTGATTCGTCCGGCGCGGAGTGCATGATTGTAGCATCCATCTTTCGACGGTCTCGACGCGGAAGGAAACACGTCCATTTCGATACACGAACACAGTGATTAAACGCTCTTTCGTTATCCCTCTCCATCATCCCCGTTTCCCTTCCAAATTCCTACCTATTCTCGCGAGTTGAGAGACTACAATCGATAATAACGAGAGGAAAACGGAATTGCAGTTCTAAGATAATCTATCTAAAAAATCCCGTGTTTCACAATGTCAATAGAAATTCCGGGACAATTTCGACTTTCGATTAAATTATGATATGAAAATATCATGATATGAAATAAATCTGATATCGCGCGTTCAACGTTTCTTCTTATTGCCACGTTGATTTAGAATAGGAGGAGATGAATTTTTGGAAATTCAAAAGCAATTTTAAAAATTGCAAAGAATAATCACGATCACTTAACGAATTCAGAATCAAAAAACAGAAAAAATAATCAAATTCATCGAAACGTCAATCTTTCATAATTATCCGAAGAAAAGATGGCCACTAAAGCTAGTTTATCCGAATAAACGATATTCCATTCGTCAAGCGACTATATTGTAACGACTACGATCGATATTCCATCTAAACACGCGTCGCAATCGTCTCGATCGTAACGCTACAAGTTGACCCGATTACAATTGTCTCGATTCCAACGATCCATTAACCGATAACGACCGTTTTCTTAAACGAAGTATTCGAACTGCGCTCTACAGAGACGATTAAACGATTCTTTGGCCATTGTAACAGGATCGTGATACGATTACCAAGGGGATTCGTAAGTGTTTTCTCGCCGAGCGAGCGATCGATCGTGTCCAAGTTCCACGGTGTAGGTGTGCTGGTTAATTTGGTTTATTTGTCCCTTGCCAAACAGAGACTTTCTCTATTGATGTGGTAATCAGACTGATAAGGAGAAACAGGGTTGGAAAGGGTTTCTTTTAAACCAGGACAGTGACTCGAAAACTTTGAATTTATTCAAAGGGAAGACCATCGTCCACGAACTCTGGGTTTAACAAACTATTTCGTAACTAATTCGTACGCTCGGAGAAGAATTTATTGGCGTCGTATTTCCTTGTAAAATCCATCAGAAATCTCAGTCACGATGTTCGAGAAACATTTCCATTTTGAATGTCCATCTATCTTCGAAATTGTTAAAAATTATTATTAAACGGTTATCGATGTTTTGAAATTGATTCTTTGGCATGATTGAAAACTCGAAGGAAAACGCCGTTTCATCTTGTGTGATATATGGACCCGTTGGATCTCTCGTTCTATGAAAATCAATAAAAATTTCTGAGATTCTATGCAAGCCTGGCGCCACGAGCATTAGCATAAAAATGAAATTTCAAATAACCATTGAATAACTGTGCCGCACCACTTGCTCGTAATATTCATTTAAAACCGCGATAAGATTTTGTAAGAGAAAAAGAATGGATCGGATTGTCCAGGAATCGAATTCTTCCAACCAGAATTTTAATATTTCCAAAATTTAATATTTTATCTACCCATAAATTAATCCAATCGAGAAAAAAGTTGAATTGAGAATCCGATCTAAATAATCAAAGATCAATGAGAAGAATTATCAAAGATCAATGTCTTGTATCGTAAGTTAGATTATTTGCAAAAACAATAATAATGAAAAAAAAGACGCTAAATTGTTCGTTTATTTTCTTATCGGAGTTACTTAAGCCATCTTGTTGCTTTCACAATCGAATCACTTTCTAAGTAAACAATCACTTAAGTGAAGTGTTAGAAATTTAAGATCATTACGCAGAACGAAATTGTGTCCAATTCGAATTTCAAACGAATTTCTGCCTCGATATTCGATAAATCTAGGCGACTGAATCGCGCTGATTGTAGCCGCCACAGTGCGTGTATCGTGCGCTCGACAAATTTCGCACTCCCTTTGTTGATATCTCCGATGATTAATTACGCATTGAGCCGGCCGCCGATTTGCAATAATTCTGATTTACATGGCTTCCAACTTAACGAGGCACCGATCGAATATCCCTTGTTTTTCCATTAATTGATGCACACGCGTGCATCGATTGGCCTTCGTTCGTTAAACCGAATTATTAATTTCAACTCGACGAGTGTTCGTACCTCGTATTGTTTTGGAAACAGTTATAGATTCGTGTGTGAAGAAAAGATCGAGTTTGATAATCTTTTTTCGAGAGAACGTAGTTTTGTTTTCGTCTGTCGCGAAATCGATGGCACGATTACTCTGCCCGAAAGAAAGATTTTTAAATTCTACCATTCTTCTCATTCGTTTCCTGTCTCACGACAAGAGATCAACGCTTATATTCGAAGCAGAAAATTCATTGTTTCCATTGTGGTGGTGGCGAGCTGCGTACTGCTTCCGGCGAGATTCCAAGAATATATTTGTTAACGCCAGACGTTCGTGGAATCATTTGTTTGGCAATGAGATTGCGCCTATTACTCATTTAATGAAAATTTATGCAAAGTGTGTGAAATTCGGATTGATGTGTGAGCCAAAGCGAGAGATCCAAAGTATTGGAAAAAAATATGAAAGTCTGGAAAAATCTTTTAATTTCTCTTGAATGTGGCATTGTCTACGCGCTAGCAATATTATGGAGGAATAAGCGTTCTCAGTTATTTGGAATATTGGAATTAAAAAAGGATTTCGAAAAGAGATTCTGCTTTTGTCTAATGGCTCTAATTCTTTGTATATCGAAGCATAATCGTGTTAAATAATTCATGATTGAATGGAAATTTATGAATGGAAATAGCATTATTCATTTTTCAATAAACATATATATTTAATAATATAACATTATTAACCATCTGTTTAACCATCTCAAAGCAAAGATTAAATTTCTCATTGTATCTTTCGAAAATAAACGAGGTGTAAGCATTTTAATCGCTAAGTAATTAAATAAGTAACGGAGTGACATTTATTTCAACAGCAATTTGCTACTGAGGAATATCAAGAACATATTTTAGATTTATTATATACTTAGAACAAAGAGATCTGGCAATAAAATTTCTCTATACAACACGTTCATGGTGTATGCAAGAAATTTTACAAATAAGGAATCGCGAAATGCTTTTGAAACAAATTTTGGAACATTATTGGATACGAAAAGAGAAAATTATTCTAAATATTTCTAAATTTTAATATTGTGCATTCCAGGACAAATATATACTAAATCATCGATTTCTTAACTTTTAGAATTATTATTATTATTAACCAACCGGTATTATTCACCATTACTGGTAATCGAATATCTATTTGTAAGTTTAAGATAAATTTCGAATACTCATTTCGAAATATTTCAGAATAAATAAATCTAACAATTTGGTTAAATCTCGTTTAATGTGATTCTTGGACAAAAGATTTACGAGAGGGATCGAGACACCACGAATCTCCGAATT